CTAATAAAGGCATGATAGTTGAATTTTTCCCACAATAACATGAGTAGGCCTCATGTTCCCATTTTATTCCACTTAGCCTTGCCTCCAAAAAGATAATCTCATCCAGGGCGGACTGCAGTTTCAATCTTGCGTAGGTCCTATCAGCGCCCCGGCGAAAGATGAAACCGGTTAGCACGGCATATAGTCTCGACACACTGCCACTACGCCAGACTTTCATCACCTTGTGCCATCTAGGGTGAGTACAACCCTTATTCTAGAGCATCTATCTTTTGAATAAGAACCCTTTGGGTTCGCATTTTCCTTTGGCCGCAAAATGTCATGTAAAACCCGATAGTTGATGCCCTTTCAGGGTAGTGATAGAGCCTTAATAAGGTGGAAACTGCAGTACAGCCTGGATAAGAAAGCTTCATATGAGGCAAGGTTAAGTGGTATCACGAGGCCTATTAATTTTATTTTGGGAAATTCAAACTTTAATTCTAAACGACCTAGGGTTTCTGAAATTTTTGTTTAATACTTGCTGACAATTTAGAATCCTATCCATTCGCAAATCCCTTCACCATTAGGCGGAAATACAAAATCTTGTTCAAATCTTGCACGATCTTTGAGAAACTCGTATATTATGTATTCAAATGAATAGTAGATTGGTTTTGATGTCATAGCAAGTTTTTCTCAAATACTACCAAGTCCATTTCAATAAGGAATTGTCAATACCCTGTCTGTGAACAGGATAGTCTCACTTCAATTCCACCAAAACACTCGAAACCGAAATGCCTGAGTTAGCCTGAATAAAATTGCCAATTTCAGATATTCATCTGCACTAAATAGACTTCATCTCGGTGCTAAAGTTGCTCACTTCAACACATTCTCTACATGTCTGTGGCTGCTCTGTAAGTGAAAGTCGATGGCAGCGCATGAACATACATCAAAGGCCCTAAATGAAGGTCACTCGTGTTTTAGTAAGCTTCCCTTATGAACCGCCTTTATGAGATGACAGCACTGCAGCGAATCTGAGGGAAAAGGATTTCTCGAACCAAATTTGACACATTTGCCTCAAAATGAATATAATTTCGCATATAAAAATTTAGCCTTTAAAACAAATTTTGAAAAATATTTGCAATTACCCCCGATTAGTTTTAATAAAAACAAAAGAGCTAATATTCAAAATGAGTGGGCTTAAAAACTATAGAAAATCTTGTACAAGAAATGTAAGTACTTTAGTTCAGATACGGTGATGAAAGACTGATAGGTTAATTTACCTACAATGATATGAATTGACTTTATAATCCAATTGAATTTCACATAGCTTTGGCTGTCTAAAGGTCATCATATCTATTGTGGTCTACAGTTTCGAACTCGTCTGGGTCTCACCAGCACTCCCAACCGGAATCGAACTCAAGTAGTGCGGCGTAAAACTTTTGAAATGTTACCACCCCATTTCCCGGGTTCGAATCCTGTTGGGAGTGCGGATGGAACATAGGCCAGATAGAAATTGAAGTCAGCCCTAGATAGGACAACCTTTGGGGAAGTAAATTTAAGTGAAATCCAATGCGATCGTGAGACTGGTTCATATCATTGTGGGAAAATTCAACTAGCAGTCCTTCATCACCTTATGCTCTTATTAGATATCCAACTCTGAGAGTCTCAGCAGCGGCTAGCCACCATAAGCAGTTAAAATGGGACGCATATCACTAGATGGTTCATGTTGGGCTCGACAAATTACTAAGTTAGAATGAAGAATCTAAACTAATCAACTTTATTATATCATTACTTCACCCTGTCTGTTCCGACAAAAAACAGATATATTGGTAATCTCGAAAACCTACTAATAAACGGAAAATTGAAATGGAAAGTATAACTTTGCTTCCTGGAAAATCCCATAGTAGAAATGCTATATGGGAAGGGCGTAAGCTTTCTTGGGATTCACATCTGCCCTCTGACGCAAGGCCACTCGTGGCAGTGTGGCGTAGTGGTTAATGCGTCGAACTTATACTCCGCACTACAACAACCCGGGTTAAAGTCCCGCTGGGGGTGCTGATGAGACCTCATATCATTATGGGAAAATTCAAATAATAGTCTTTTAGCATTAATGAAAGATGTTGAATACGGCTCTTTTATAAAAGTTAATGGGGTCGAAATGCATCGTATAGTTCGAGCTTGCTCGCCTCCACTCACGCCAAACTTAGTACTCACTTCGGCAAATCCCTGATTCGGCGACTGCGCTCTACTAACGGCATATTCACTCGCTGGCACAGGGTTCCTAGAGGCCTGTCCGACTGGCTTCAAGGTGCTAATGAATCTGGGCTCCTGCAGCTCGACTTCGTGTAGTATCTCCTGGGCAATGTGAACCACTTCGCGCAGGGTCTTGGCCATAGTTTGTCGACGGGTCTCCACACGACGTGCTACAAACAGGCCCAAGTGTTGACCCACTCGAGTCGGATGCCGACTTATCTGGTCTTCCAGGTTGCCGTTTCCATTGCTACTACTACTGCTTCCTCCTGCTTGCGATGCTGCAGACAACTCTATGCCACCGGTACAACGCTGACGTGACGGATTTGCATCATTAGACACCGAGTTGCGCTGCAAACTGAGGCCGGACCTTTCAGCAAGAGTCGTTGAATACCCACCCGCCAGACTGGCAGACAGGCCTGATGTTCCAAGCGTAGGAATCAACGTGGACTCAAGCCCAGGACAACGCGGCGGGGTTAGACCAGCAGTCACTAGGTATTCCGAAGTGGTCATGAAAACTTGGTTGTTGCACAAACTCGGTTACTGAGTTAACCACGGTCGGGTTAAGAGCTGATTTGATCGACTGGTCGGCGTGAAAATAGGTCTTAGACCAACTAATCGACTGACCACAAGTGATCCCAGCCCCTTCGATGAGCCTTCAACCACCCCCAGAGGCTTAAATAGCTTCTAGTACCTCTTTGGTCTAGAGCACTATCAACTTCTTTCTCTCTGTTTCCCTCCCTCTCCATCTTTTATTCACAATTCCAATTGCCCTGGCTACCAAAGCCCTTTCATATTATGTAATCCTCTCCGTCAGGCTGGACTGTCATGGCGATTGATAGACAACGGCAAACCTGACAGAGGGCGAACGTAAAGGCCCCCGATTCGCGGTGTCAACGTAAACCGCGTAAGCTGAGACTGCGATGGCTGCAGCCAAACAGCCAAGCGACATGCTACACTCCCTTCTCCTCTCCCGTCGGTTTGGCCTTCTTCAGCCAAGTCCAAGAAGGTCTCATTCTGTGTCATGCTTTCTATGCCTCGCATTGCCTTCCATCCTCCTGTATCTCCCATTATCAGTCGCTAGTTCCATTGTATCCCTACCTGAGTCACCCCTGATTGGCTGGACAAGCGGACCAATGCGAATGTCAGCTTCTCTGGCAGACGGGAGGCCAACCGGCAGACCGTAGAGACACGTATCAACCATAGATGATCCTTAATCCAGAAGCTTTTCGATATTGGTAATGTTGACCCATCTACAATATTTACAAGGAATTAACTAGTTTATTGTTTGGAGTGCAATGCAAAACATTAAATAAAACAAATTTATTTGGAGCACCAATCTTCGATTGAATTTTGCATTGTGTAAGTTTGGCCTCGCTTTCAAATTTGGCTGAGTCGTCAAGACGACCTTGTGGAACATACCCAGTCCTGTGTCTTTTGCCATTGTATTGATAATAATTTCCGGCCTCGGTTCAATGACCGGATACATTACCAAACGTTACGCCAGCCTCATAGTCGGTATTGTCAGTGAAAGGCACCATCATTGGCAAAGAGATACAACTCGTCAAATGGATTGCATTTTAGACTGGCAAGCGTGGAATGCCATATGCATGCGACGAATGGACACCGACATGTCTAAAACTTAGTAAAATCACGGTTGATCATGCTTCTTCTCATGATTTAGAATCATGTATTTGGCCCAATATAGGAAAGGCATAGATTCTTGGAGTGTCTTTGTTATGGTCGCAGTCTCCTTTAGATTTATAGAAGTGGGTTGACCTCGTTGTCGCAACTTGGTCTTGTTGTCAGGGCGACTATGTAGAACGCACCAAGTCCGAAGTTGTCTGCCATAGTAGTTTTCATGATTCCCATACATAGTCGCCCTGACAACAAGACCAAGTTGCGAAATCGAGGTCAACCCACTTCTAGAAAAATGAAGTTTCGAAGAATCCCTTAATAGATTGAGGTCGGAGTACCATTAATTTGCTTCTCATCCTGCACTCCTGGCCTTGTAGGTGGCCTCTTATTCTTGTATTAAGATGGCTTGCCGTAATCTTCAATTGTGTTGCCAATTAACCGTCGGAGAACCAAACTTTGATTCATTCGTTCAGGTTATTTAAAACGAATTTTTCGTTTATAAGCAGAGTTTCGAGACTACCATTAAATCAGTTATATGAGATGTGTTCACACTATTTCATTTAAGGGATAAGGGGCAGTCAAAGTATTTCCACATTGATTTGAGTAGACTTCACCTTTTCATTGAATTTCACATAGCCTTGCTTTACCAAGCTGTATTCTCATTCAGGAAGGACTGCAGTTTCAACTTCTTTTTGGTCTTATCAACACCCCAGCGGGACTCGAACCATGACACTGCAACGTATAATCTTGACACGCTAACGTCTACGTCACAGCGCCAAAAGTGCCATTGGGTCACAGATATGAAGTGAATTTCATGATAGGCTAGGCCTTTTCCCATATCACATTCTTTGGTGAGAATGTCGATGAAGCAAAGTTATATTTGCCATAATAATCGACTACATTACTTATTCGCAGGTATGAAGACCAAGATAGTGTGGCCTTTTGTGTGGTCGCAGTCTCCTTTCGTTGTATAGTGGTTGTTTGACCTTGTTTTCGCAACATGGTCATATTAGTAGGAAGACTCATTGGAACGCACCTAGTCCTGGGTCCTGGGGATTTTATGAAAATCAGATCAGGAATGAGGATAACAACCAAAAGTGGATTTCCTTGCCCTTATTAAAACTGACCCAACAATTGCGACCTTTATTAGGAAAATGGAATATCAAGTTGATGACAAAGGAGAAGAAAACACTTTTCA